AATTTTCAACTTTTGTTTTACCATAAAGCCATAGTAAAATTTCATTGTAAATATACTTTTTATTTTTGTCTAATCAATGAGATTGAAATTTAGAAAATTATTTCATATGCATGTTAGACATATTGAGAAAAGCTGAACATTAATTTCATGACTTTTTGAGCAAGTTTAGTTTTTTATATTAATTTTGGGTCTTGTTTATTTAATTTTTACATTTAAAATCAAAAAGAATTTAATATAAAAAAAAACAAAAAACAAATATTGTGATCATTTTTGTGTTTCATAGAGAAAATAGATCTTGTTTGAGAAATCTCTCCGAGATGATTCAAAAAAAATACAATTTTATATATAAAAATAAGCATCTATATAAAAGTTATATAATTTAAAAATTTAAAAATAAATTAAATATATTTTGATAATGAAGGCAAACCTTTAGATGTTTCTTATCCTTGTCGTTATTGGCAATGGAAAAATTTGACAATAAAATCTTCTAGAGAGCTCCAAATGGCAAAAAATCTCTTTTTGATCATTTTTACTTCTCCAAAAGTTTGAATATCTCTACTTTTCTTTCAAAATTTTATGTTTTTCGCATCTGCCCAAATAGCCGTTGGACCTTTGAAATGTTTGACCTTCTACATCTCTATTCCTAGTTTGAAAGCTTTTTATTTATTTATTTATTTCTGTTTATTTTTTATTTTTTATTTTTTGGTCAGAGGATTGACTCTGCAAACCAGGTTCAAATCCTCCAAGGAACCTCATTATTGAAATCAATGAAAGAAGGCTACATTTGGCAATATATAAATTAAACTAAACCCTAAAAGTCAATAAAAAAAGTTTAAAAAATCAAAAATCAAAAATCAAATAAAAAAGTCAAAAAATCATTCTCATTTTCTCTACATTTAACATGTTTTTTTTAAAAAAAATAAAAAAATCATATCCAAACACTTTATTTTTTTTACCTTATTTTTAATAAAATAAATTATTAAAAAATTCAATTTCTAAACGAATCCTAATTAAACATGATTGGTTATATCTTGTGCAGTTTTGTCCTTCTAATTTCTCTTTATTTTTTTAAGAGTGAAACAAATTAAAAACTGCATAGAACCTGACTGCAAAATGGAATATTTATATTCCCAAACCCAAAACTTATTTAAAATTTTTATAAAAAAATATTATGAAATTTTTTTTTCAAGAGATTCGCAAAGACAAAATTTTCCATGTGATCACATGGTCCCAATCAGTCGTATTCCACCATAATCACCTTGGTTAGAATGAAAATTCCAACGATGCAACATTATTTTAAATGAATTTATTCCCTAGACATTTGAAAATCAGCATAAGGGATTTTTTAAGGATAAATTATAAATACATTCTCTAAAATTTACTTAAAGTATAAATTGCTTCTTATGATTTAAAAAATTATAAATATCTCCTCATTAGAATTTTTTATTTAACAGAATTAACTAAAAAAAATATTCATAATTACTCTTATGTATAATAATAAAAGTACCTAAATTATTAATTGAAACATATTCCTAATATAATTAAAAACTGTTAATTGACTTGATAATTTATTAATAAAATGAACGATTTATTATAAAATTATAAATCTCAGGAGGTGGACTGTAATTTCCAAAATCACAGAGGGTGATTCGTATTTTAATCAAACATTAAGAGATGTATTTGTAATTTATCTTCTTTTTTTTTATTGACTATTTTTTTTTTTTGAGGGGGGTATTTAAGTTGGATGATCATATTATCTAACTTTCTGTTTTTGTATTTGATGATGTATCGATTCCCGGGTGGATGGGTCGGACCGGCCCAGGTTCTCCAGACTCCGACTCAAAAAGGGGGCTCCGCCAGATGACCTGCAAGCAAGTTCAGGGGGGGAACGGGGTAGTCCCCCAGTGAACCCTCCGGTGGAAGAATTAGAAGAGCAGAGTATGAAAAGACTGTATATCGAGAGATCAAGAGAGAGCGACCAACTTAACCTTCTTTTCTTCCTTTTATCCTTGCTTATATCCTTTTGTCATCATTTTTCCTGTCTCTTGTGACGTGCTTTTTCCGCCGAAAGCCTGTGCCATAGCTCATCTTGTTTAGGGTGATGGAGGCTCTGTTCCGGCGGGGAGTGCTGTTGTAATAAATGCTGTGATGGGTTGCATTAATGGTGATGTGTTGTGATAATAACTCTGCAGATCTTTGTCTGCTGATGTGGCCCGTGTCCCACCTGCCGTGTGCCTAAATGCCGTTGGCCCTTCATGTCTAGGTGGCCTCCAGCTGTTCTGGGCCTTGTCACCCAAGCAACCGGGTTGTGCCATTGGCCCCAAGCACTGGGTTCGGGGTGGTTTACCGTGGGCCGTGTGCCTTGTGGGCCTATCCATGTCAGTATTTAATACACTTTTAACTATACAATATGATAAAAATCTGTCTGAGTACGATTGTGTAGCTAAAAGTATACTAAAATACGGTAAAATAGAGATTTTGAGTATGAAAAATGTTACATGTTATCTCATTTCATACTCAATTTTCCTACTCTTAAACCCTAATGTGTTTATGTAAAGTCTTATTATCTTATGTTTGGGAGCGAAAAAATAGAATAAAAATGTGATTATATATAATTATTTTTTTAATACAGATGATTTCAATATAAAATTAATAAATTATGCTCATCGAGCAAAAATAAATATTTTTTTTAACGAAAAAAAGGTAATTAAATATTACTTTAATAATTAATATATTTTAAAATGATAAATTTTAATATAATTCCAACATTCTTATAATATATATATATATATATATATTTTTTTGGTATATATATTAAAGCAAAAATCAAAAGTATCCATGAAACATCATGGGTCCACCAGAGTATTCATGAATCATGGGTTGATCATTCATCAACAGCTAGGCTTTGGAGATGATGTGCATCCAACAATGCAAATGTCAATACACCTCATTCCAGACCCCACAAGAGAAAAATTATTCGGTGCCCTCGAGGCATGACCTGCTAATCATACACCACCAATCATCAAATAATATGGATTTTACTGTTCTCTAATCGTTGACACAAATTTTGTAGAATCATTCCTCTCTGCCAATCACAACTCTCCAAAACGCATCAATGGACAATACCTAGAGGAACCGAATAACTTTTCCAAACAAGAACATCTCTTGTTATTAACTTTAATTAAACATCTAGTTAATTGTCGTTTTAAGAAGTTAATTAGGTAGTGCCGTTAATATATATATACAATGGCCCGTTTGGGAGGTAGGTTTAGGGATTTTTTTAGGTTAAAATCTATAATATGATAAAATAAGTTAAAATAGTTAATTAGACAAAGTGAGTTTTTGAAAAGTTATTATTTTAATAGGTTAAAATTTTTATATTTAGAAAAATGATTGAATTTTTTTATAATTGGATATCTAAGAGAATAGTTAAACAAGGCTTGTTAGGCATTTTAGCTAATGTAAGTCTAATTTTGAGCTCCAATGGACTAGCTATTGGGTTAGCTACTTTACCAGGCTATTTTTTTGGTGGCTACAACTGAAGAGCCTCAGAGGCTCTCCAAACAATTATGTATGTATATATTTTAGATTTTTGTGTATTTATGTCTTGGATTTGAGATTTTATACTATATATATATGTGTGTGTGTATATAACAATTTTATATGTTCTTTCAATTCTGTTTGATGAATTACGAAATAATTTATTTTGTATTTTTTTCTCCTCATTCTACTGATTTTGAATGTTTGTATGGGCAAATTTATTATTATTGTAAATTTATATTAGTAAAATATCAACAATTAGTATTTTTTATTTTAAAAATTAATTAAGTTAGTTTAAATGATTAGCTAAAATAAAGAACGTGGTTGGAGAATACAAAGTGAGTTTTTAGAAAGTTATTATTTTAATAGGCTAAAATTTTTATGTTTAGAAAAATGATTGAATTTTTTTATAATTGGATATCTAAGGGAACAGTTAAACAAGGCTTGTTAGGCATTTTAGCTAATATAAGATTAATTTTGAGCTCCAATGGACTAGTTATTGGGCTAGCTACTTTACCATCTTATTTTTTTGGTAGCTACAACTGAAGAGCCTCAGAGGCTCTCCAAACAATTATGTATGTATATATTTTAGATTTTTGTATATTTATGCCTTGGATTTGAGATTTTATATATATTATATATATATATATATATATGTGTGTGTGTGTATGTAGCAATTTTATATGTTCTTTCAATTCTATTTGATGAATTATGAAATAACTTATTTTGTATTTTGTATTTTTTTCTCCTCATTCTACAGATTTTGAATGTTTGTATGGGCAAATTTATTATTATTGTAAATTTATATTAGTAAAATATCAACCATTAGTATTTTTTATTTTAAAAATTAATTAAGTTAATTTAAATGATTAGCTAAAATAAAGAGCGTGGTTGGAGAACACATTAGCTAAAGTAATTAGGTAAAATAAATAGTGTACTTTTTTTATACTTTAGTTAGTGAAAAGTAGAGAATGTGGTTGGAGTTGCTCTGATGTCTGTGAGAAAAAAAAATAAAGTAATTATTAGTTTGTTATGATATTTTATCTTATTAATTATTTTAGTCTATTTTATTTTTGTGAATTTTAGCCTAAAAATGACTAAAAATTTGCCAAACATCCAAAAATATCACATTAAATTCATAATCATTTCACCTTTTTTTTTCTCACCAAGATCACATCTAATTACAAAAAAAAAAAATTCAACAATTTTCTTAAATACAAAAGTTTAAACTTACTAAAATAATTAAAAATTAAAATAACATATGAAAATAATCAATTTTTTTTTTTTTAAAACAAGGCAATATATACAAATATAAAGAGAGAAAGTATTAATTTTAGTTAGAGAGAGAGAGAGAGAGAGAGAGAGAGAGAGGGGGGGGGGGGGGGGGTGTTTTTTTTTGCGTGTGAGTGTATTTGACCAGTAGCTTCCGCGTGTAAAGTTCGAACGAAGTCATTGTCCAAAGACACGTCCGGTCAAAACAGCGAACCTCCCTTACTTTGGCCTGCATTGCACTCCACCTTCTCTCTCCAAAAACCTTTTAAGCTTTTCCATTTATCCCCTCTCTCTATTGCCATCACCTGAAACCAATAACATATACATATATAATTTTGTATTTGTGTTTGTTTTGTATAGTTTTGAATCATAACAAGAGAGATATGGGTTTATTGAAAGAAGGAAGACCAACACGAGTGCTGAGAGGAGTTAAAACTCTCTTCTTCCTGTTCACCATGCTCATCTCTCTCCTCCTCTTCTCCGCCCCAGTCATTCTCGCCATCGCCGACGCTCTCCTTCCTTCAGCTCTCTTGTCCGCCTCTCTCTCTCCTAATTCCCCTCTCTCTCTACAAACAATCTCATCTCACTTGAGAAATTACGACTTTCGATACTCTCTCATCGACATACCTCTCATTTCCCTCATTAGATCAGCTCTCATACTATGTAAGTCTTTCACAACAACCAGTTTTCTCTCTCATCTCATCTCATATACTATATAATATTAATAATAATAATGAGTATTATGGTTTGTGATTTTGCTTATAGGTGTTTATAGTTGTTGTGATGGACCGAGGCTATCGAGGGGACCGTATTTGGGAATAGCGACGGTGTGTTCAGTGTGTTCATTGGTGTATGTATCGTTGAAAGCTTCGTTTGTGTTTGGGAATTCGACAATGGATAGAAGAGGAGGAGGGTATGTAAGAGGTGTGGAGGTGGCTTTGTTCGTGTGGTCGCTGGGTTTGGCAGTAGCTCACGTACTTGTGGCCTATAAAACTAGTTGCAGAGAGAGAAGAAAACTCCTTGTTTACAAAATTGACATTGAAGCTGTAAGTCGATCTCTCTTTTCCTTTTTCTTTTTCTTTTCTTTCATCAATTTTTTTTAATCAAACACGGTCTTATTGTGAAACTGTGGGCACGGTTTGGATTCAATTTCATATATTTGCAATTATTTATAAATTACACATTAATTAAAGTCTCAAAATTTCAAATGAGAGCGAAACTAAAAATGCCTCAATTTATGGCTTGCCCAAAGTTCACTTCATTAACGGTCCCATTTTTTTTTTTGGTTCAAAATAGAATGTTAGTTTTGTCAATGAAGTTAAGTTACAACTTAAAATGACCGTCACTGATCTATCACTGTGAATTCTAAACTTTTCACTCATCGCATCCTAAAACGTCACTGCATGAAACTCGGCCACAAAGACCTCGGCATTAACGGATGAATTACTCATGCGAGTTCTATAATACTATATGCAGAAACAAAATTTTGACTTATCACTGCACAAAAAGTTGTCAATGTTATTTATATTTATTAATATTATATGCAGAAACAAAATTTTGACTTATCACTGCACAAAAAGTTGTCAATGTTATTTATATTTATTAATATTAGTTCTATTAACTTTGTACCGGTGAGAAATCTGTTGAAAAATAATTTATATATGAGTTTCAATAAAAACAATATAATATTGATATTTTTAAAATTATAAGTTAAAATAATAAATTTTTTAATTTAGAATGAGAGAATTATAAAAGATCATAGTATCATTATTCTGTGAAAAAAAAACAAATTTATATGATTACTCAAACTGTTTATGCATAGTATTACTGAAATAAAAATTCAACAAATGAGTAGGGAAGGGAGTATAAGGGTAATTTACCTAAAATTTAAAAATATCACTAGTAATAATATAGATTTTATATCTATATATGTAGAGGAGGAGGAGGTATGACAAATTCAAATTGGGAAAATTGGAGCCGTTCAAAGTTGCTGGCCTCTGCCTGGGCCCAGAGGCTACAACCACAATTTTGATTTGTTTCATTAGTTGACCCCCCAACTTGAGAATGGCTGCGAATCCAATTCCTATTCTAGAAGATGGCTTTTCAAACAAACAGTAAAGATCTGTGAATATCATTTTTATGGTTTTTGCTTAGCTAGGCTGAGACTTTATTTATTAAGCCACCTATATATTAATGCTAATTGAGGCAGTTTGCTTGGATGTGGTTTTGGATCTTGTTTTTGTTGGTTTTTCTTTTATTTTTTTCTTTTGTTTGGTTGTTGTTTTTGGGTTTGTCTGGGTTTAAGTCCTCTGTTTTGGGTTTGTTTGGTTGTTTTCTTTGAGTCTATCAGTGTGGATTTGCAGTACGAGCACAGGCACGAAATGTGGATTCGAATATTTTCATAGTTTTTTCTTCCTCTGTGCTTTACACTTTATTTTCACTTTGTTTGGTGTAAGTTTTGGGTTGGATGGACTCATGTAAATGCCGTTTGGCTTCCTAAATGAAATATTTCTTCTGATCAAAACAAAACAAAAAAAAAAGTTACATCAATTTTACATTCATATTTGCCAAATAGTCCCCACTTCATTTATATATGAACTCAGCACTTTGAAATATATGCAGTTTACATTCAACTATATATTTTAAAGGCATAGTTTAAATTCACGATAATCTTACAAAAATACAGAGTACATAGTGCAATGTTAATAGGAAAATGTTAGAGATCTCAAATGTTTTATCAATATTTCTATCAATTGTTTTACATGAATATAGGACTCACATGAGTCCTACATGGCGTGAGTCCTATACCCGTGTGAGACATTTGGTAAAATATTTAGAGTCCCTAACATTACTCATGTTAATAACATTGTATACATTTTAATTAGATATGAATTCATCCAAAATGAATCATTTTATGATTTTTTTATAAATATTTTAATATTAATATTATTTTTTCTCTTTTGGCCTGGTAGATAAGATGCTCATTTACTAAACTGATATTTAAATTTGAGTCTTTTCATTACCAATTTCTTATTTGGTGTGATTTATTATAAGTTAAAAGCTGATAATTAAAAAGTATAAATTAATACATGATTACCTCAACTTCTATAGATAATTAATTCTTTTTTTAGCATTTTTAAAATGATTTTTTCCTAATAAGTTGTCAGTAGAAATTCTACCAAATAATCAGACACAAACTTTCAAATTAAAATAAACTATAAACAAGTCATTTAAACAGTAACAAACACCTTCAATATAATTTTCTTTCTCCTCTCTATCAATCAATTGCTAAATAAATAATTACTAATCCCTATATTTAGGTTATCCCACCTGTGGTGGGCTCCAAGGCATGCGCCATTTGACTTTACTCACACTTTGCCCACAAAATTGATGAACATGATCTTAAATCTATCTACTTTGTTCTTTTGAATAAGTTTCTTCATCATTTTAATTTTATTGGTTAAAGAGTTGACACTTACAATACAATTAATCCATCTTGAAAAAAGTAGGGAACCGAACCGACCAAAAAAATATTCTAAAGCAGATTTTGGTATTTTGATTCTCACACACACAAAGCAAACAGCATGCAGTGAATAAATTCTCCCAAACAATCATATTTCAGGTGACAGCATGCAAAAAGGGGTTTCCGAGGTATCAAAAAATTCTCCAAGAAGAAAGAAAGAAGTAGTAGTACTAGTATGAAACAAAGAAAGGGTGGCCAATCTGCAAATTCTCTTTGGCTCATCACAGTTTTCCAGAGCCAGGCTTCAGGTAATTTCTTTTCCAATTATTTATTTATTTGTCTACAAAGATGATGTATTGGTAATTTGGTAAACTCATTTTCATCATCACCCATGTGCTTCGTCATTGGAAATCCTATGAACCCAAAATGTCTTTGTGCAATAAAGATTGAATTGGTGTAATGTAGAATTTAGGTATAAAATGAACGAGTCACAAATTGATATTCCGAAATAAAAATTTGATTAAAATTTCTTAAGTGTGTAGTGCTGCTGACTTCCGAATTAGATGGGATACAACCACTGGATTCTCAAATACGTGTCACATAATTTATAATTATACGATTTAATTTGTTCTATTAAAAAATTGAACAATACTAGACACCTACAATTTAGACTCTCAAATTCACCTATAACGATATAGTAAGGAAGTTGAGCCCTGTGTATAATTGTGTGTGTACAAATCAAAAGTTGACATCTATCATATCCTATCATTGTGGGTCAAATTGTTAGTATTTTTTAATTGTAAATGCATAAGAAATGAGTAAGATTTTTATGATTTTTTTCAACACTTTGGTTCATTTCACACCTAGCAACTAACCCTGGGTTTTCATCATCGCTGTGTGTGTTTTTTTACAGGTTTTAACCACAAAGGAGATCTGTAACCGGGTGCTCTCTTAGCAATAGTTTATAGCATAGTATGTGGGTGTACATCCATTTTCATACACCATATATATATGATGATATGTATACAGATACATACATTTACATTATTGTAAAGTAGTGTTCTTTTGTATCATCATTACTATAGAGGATATACCGCTTGGAGATTCGACAGACATCGATTCATCCTCCCCCCAACATGTACATTACTTTAATTTATGTATAAACACAAGAGACAGAATTTTCAGAGACCTGGCAGAGAGTGTATGTTTTTAAGAACTTGTAAATTAACCAACTTGAAGCAGTAAATTTCCTCTGAGGCCACAAGATACACAAAGACTCTGTTAAAGTGGGGCTTCAAAGAAGACAAAAATCTGCACAGCCTTATGTTCACATTTAGGGGAATGAAAATAAAAATTGAATACAACAATAATATATATCGAGATGAAGTGATATCACCATCTAAATGTCACTTATTAAATTATGTTCAGTAAAGTTATTATTAGATGGTGCTATCACATTGTTATAATGACATGATATTATTACCGTTGTATTCAAGTTTCAACAATTTCTGAACTAATGATCATTTGTTTTCAAATCCCTCTATTCTCTTGTTTCAATATACTTCCAAGGATTGAAACATGTTAGAATCTCAATACAGACGGTTGAAAAAAAAAATGTATTGAGACACATCTAGATGGAAAGATTTAAGGACAGAAAATCCCATACTTCATTTCCGTAGCCTCAATTACTAAAATCTCATAGCAATCCAACAAGCAAAAGAGCAGGAAAATGCCCAAGACTCCAAGAACAAGCATCAACCTAAGAAAGGAAGCAATCTTAAATGTTAACCTCCTATCTGGTTTTTCTGCTAGATGAAATTGAGCCGAAACATTGGGCGTTTTCTGGTTTTGGAAAACTAATAGTGGTTCAGACTCTTTGATAACAAACTTATCAAACACCATAAAGATGCTTCTAATCTCATTGAAAAAGGTTTCCCTAAAAAATGTTCAAATCACAAATATGGTTGCTCAACTTAATCAAATAAACCTTTTTCCAGTTTTGAAATTGTTACTAGCAACTTTACTTTGTACATACAAAATCTTCAAACCACGCTCAAAAGTAAAAATGCTATGATCACTTCATTATTAATCTTGGGAGAGAAAGAAATTGACTGACCAGTAAAATGGAGTGGAAGTACAACCAACAGCAGCAACATATTTAAAAAAAAACAAAACAAAACACAACAAAAAGAGAGAAAGAAAGAAAGAAAGAAACATTGAAACAAACAATGCAACAATACCAGCAAAGCAACAACACAGCAAAGCAAAACAAGAACACCCATATTACAGATCATACTTGCTCATCCTATATGAAAGGATACTAGTCCTAAAAATTAAAGCATCCTTGGTCCCCACCTACAAAACAACACCGCAGCAAAGCAACAGAATAACACCCATATTACAGATCATACTTACACTATGAAAGGATAATAGTCCTACAAATTAAAGCATCCTTGGTCCCCATCAAGGTTGTTAATTAGAATATCACTAGTCCCTCGGTTAACTAGATCACCCAACTAAGATGACCTTTAGCAGTAGTTACATTCATTCATAGCTACGTGCTTTCCATCTTAACTCAGGTTCGGTCCAAAAGATTATTGAGTTTGGCATATACCTAACTTTGTACATTCACCAGAATTCCTTATGCAATTGGTCCATAGTCATATGATGTACAACATGCAATTTTAAGTTGATTCCTACTTGCCATAATTAAAAATGATAGGCTCTGTCATGTTATCAGTTTTTCTAAAAGCTTAAGCTGTTAAGAAATGCACCCAACAATATATATATATATATATCAAGCCATCTAACACCCTCCCTCACGCGCAACCCTGTCTTGCACGTGAAGAGACAAACAGAGAACTAAACAGAAGGAGAAGCAGACAATAAACAGAGAAGACGAAATCAAACAAGAACTGAATACCAAATATTAATAGAGAGACTTGAATCTAAGACCTCTTTCAACTAGAGTTCTGATACCATATTAAGTTAATAGTTTTCCCAAAAGCATAAGCTATAAAAAATAGGTCCAACAATGTATATCATACTATCTAACAGGCTCACCCTTCTTTCTACAAGTTTCTTATTAATTTCTTTCTTTATTTCCTCTTTTAGGCAAGTGTATCAGCCAGAATTTTACAGAGTAAAACCTCAGCAATTTCTGAAACTTACATATTTTAAGAGAATGAAACGCTAGGATTTTCTATAGTTTGAATCTCCTTTTGTGTCATCAGTGACTTGGTATTGTAAGTTTTTCTTGTAAAAAAATAAATGTGAAGCAAGGCAAATTTCCAATACAATTATTTGTGCTGCAGTCCTCAATAAAATCAGAGCATTGTACTAGAAAAGAGTTTACACTGTTATTCTTTTAACCAATTAATTTTAAGAGTTTATAACCCGCTCTAGCATTTTCCCACATATGGATTTCCAACAACATAAGAAATCATTACCAAAATACCATGACCAAAATTCATGCTATTATTTTGAGTAATCTAAAGGTTGTGTAAAATACCACACAATTCGCTAAAATCGCACCAATCCTAACCGTTCTATCTGCTAACCGCAGATTAAACTTTGAAATTTATAATCTACCTTCAAAACCATTCTGCTCTACTATAGTTAATACATTTATATTTTTTTAACTTCTAATGAAATATCAAAATAAAAATGAGTGTGAGAGATATTTAAGATGTGCAATTTATTACAAATTAGTAGTTGTATATATGAAAACTATTATGTAAAATTAGTTTGTGTTTTAGATTGAAAAATATCGTGCAAATTAGTATTATATATTATACAAATGCTTGATAATTGATTAAGAATATTTTTCAATTTGCCAATCCGACTCAAACCGCCCTAATTGCATCATGCACACCCCATCTAAAGAGCAATGTATATGACACCCAAAGTCACCAACCATAAAGTTAGATTTATGGGCTATATATTATCAGACATTTTTTCAAGGCCACTCAATTCTGTTGATTGTTCATTCCATGGTCCCTCAGTCTTAAAATTTCTTCACCTTCCCATCCAATTTGAAAGATACACCTTGTACGGGGAGCAAATATTCTGGCGAGCCCGTACTCCTTTCTTCCAAGCTTCCTGTTTGTTTGATCGACCTGCGAACACAACTGTGGTGAGCTACCCAGCGATGTGTAGCCGGAAAACCCCTCCGACGGTCAAGTTAGCACACACTTAGGGATAGAGAGAGAGAGAGGAGAGAGTTGAATGTCTAAGTGTATCTCACCAAATGATCATCTGCCTCAGCATGGGGGGCGCAGACAAGCTTATATACCTTCTGCGCCCCAAATCTACTCCCATTAGTCTCTCGACACGTGGTGCTGCTATCCCATCTGTCAGCACAAATCCAACAATCACGACCTAACCAAACTGTCAGGATACCTTGGCGGAGCCCGACAGACCGGCGAAATCACCTCGGCCTCACACGGCCATGCTACGCTGCATGCCCGAATGCTCGCTAGCCGAGCTCCATACCGGCCGAGCTCAGTTGCATTCCAACAGAGTCGAGCTCGAAATAGGTCATGCGAGTAAAACAAAGGCCTTCCTACCGAGGTAAAGGCGCAAGCCTTCCTGCCGAGCAACGCAAGTAGCACGGTTCCCACCTGTGCAAATCCAAGTAGCTCGGTCTTGGGCTTTAATCGAGTAGCCCCATCTCCATGCAAGCCCAAAGCTATCCTGGCCCAAACGCGCTCGGCCTTCAACTTTCCTGACCCTTACCATGGCCCATTTCTAGCTCATAAAATCTCCTTCTCAATTGCCCTTTAATTTCGTCCGCAAAAGCGTGACCGGGATTACATGATCCGACCGGGGTAGACCCTTCCTCGGTCTGTTGTTTGCAAGACGTCAACCGCACTAATTCCAGTGCTCGGTTCCTCGATTTGCTCAGCCGACGTCTCATCTCACCTTTCTATCTCTTCAACTCTGGCGCCGCCATTAATTGGGACACACGTCGCTCGTTTGTTGGCCTTGAGCAGCCAACCATCACGTCTCTTCACATTCAAGAATTT